ACTCTAGAAAATTGTGGGTTTACCCAATCAAGAAGAAGTCAGATGTGTTTCCAGTTTTCAAGAAATTCAAAGCACAAGTGGAGCTTGAAACTGGGAAAAAGATTAAGTGCTTAAGGACAGACAATGGAGGAAAATATACAGATGGTAAGTTTCTAGCATTTTGCAAGCAGGAAGGTATAAGGAGGCAGTTCACGGTTGTCCATACACCTTAACATAATGGTGTAGCAGAGTGGATGAATAGAACCCTCTTAGAAAGGACTAGAGCTATCTTGCGAACAGAAAGATTAGCCAAATCTTTCTAAGCAAAAGCAGTAAAGACAGCTTGTTACGTAATAAATCGATCACCATCAATTGTGATTGGTTTAAAGACACCTATGGAGATGTGGAAAGAAAAGCCAACAGAGTATTTTTCTCTACATGTGTTTGGATGTCCTGTGTACGTGATGTACAACTACCAAGAAAGAACAAAGTTGGATCCAAAATCCAGAAAATGCATATTCTTGGGCTATGCTGATGGATTTAAGGGGTATTGTCTGTGGGATCCCACTGCTCGCAAGGTTATTGTCAGTAGAGACGTAATCTTTGCAGAGAATGAACTGCAAAATGAACAGGTAAATGACAGCACTTCTAAAGATGTTACTACTGTATAAATAGATGGAAAGTCTGGAGAAGAAGATTCTTTAGAAGCAGAACCAGAGCATGAGGAACAAGAACCAGAAGAGGCCAATGATACAGAAGTTCAACGAATAACACATCAGATAAGGAGATCATCTTAGCACTCAGACTATGTAATGGCAAGTCATGATGCATACTGTCTTCTAACAGCAGAGGGAGAGTCGTCAACCTTTCAAGAGGCTGTGAGTAGTTCAGATGCTTCTCTGTGGATGACAGCAATGCAAGAAGAAATAGAAGTCTTACACAGAAACAAGACATGGGAACTTGTTGCACTTCCACAAGGTCGGCCATCAGCAACAAATGGGTCTATAAGATCAAACGTGATGACAATGATCAAGTGGAATGATATCGTGGTGATCAAAGGGTATGCTCAAAAGGAAGACATTGATTTCAATGAGATATTCTCTCCAGTGGTTAGACTTACCACTATCAGAGTAGTGTTGGCTATATGTGCTGCATTTGACTTACATCTTGAACAATTGGATGTAAAGACTGTTTTTCTTCATGGAAAACTTGAAAAACTTCTTTTCATAAATAATACTATTTTTAAAAATATTTTTCAAAATAGCACATCCGAAACATTATTTACACAACTAACATTCTTTACTCGTTCACGTATTAAAATAATCGATTATTTTATATTATGATCGATTATTTCACGCAAGATCAACTCTCGCTCAAACGAAGAAACCCTTCGCTTGAGCGAGGAGATCTGTAACAAAGGGATAATCTCGGGTCAATTCTCGCTCAAGCGATGGGTACTTTTGCTTGAGCGAGAAGTGATTAAAATGTGGTGACCCAAGTTGCGTTATGTGGCTAACTGCGTTGGACGTTTAGCCTATGGTCAATTCTCGCTCAAGCGATGGGTTACTTCGCTTGAGCGAGAATTGATTGCGTAACTACGTTGGACCGTGGTCTATTCTCGTTCAAGCGAGACGTTCATCGCTTGAGCGAAGAAATTTATAATCAATTATAATTTGAACTAATCGATCATAATTTTAAAATAATCAAATATACAAAATTATGATCGATTATTTCTCTCTCGCTCAAGTGAAGAAACCCTTCGCTTGAACGAGGAGACATGTAACAAATGGGTAATCTCGGGTCAATTCTTGCTCAAGCGACGGATACTTTCGCTTGAGCGAGAAGTGATTGAAATATGTGGTGACCCAAGTTGCATTATGTGGCTAACTGCGTTGGACGTTTAGCCTGTGGTCAATTCTCGCTCATGTGAGAAACTCATCGCTTGAGTGAGGAAACCTACAACTATTTGTCACCCACCCAAGTCAGGATTCCCATGTCTTTCTGATGCACACAAGTAAGGAATCCAATGCTGATAACCAATGCAATTGGAGATGTCGAGCAATATTGCGCATAAGAGAGCAATATTGGGAGATTATGAAGCTTGAAGGGCACCATACATGCGTTTCGCCATTAATCAGCCAAGACCACAACAAGTTGGGATATAAAATGATTTTTCAAACAATTGGTCAAATAATTGATGATGATTCGTCAACACCAATCTCCACAATCATAGCTCACATCTAATTAACAACGGATTACACTATAACATACAGGAAAGCCTAGTTGGCCAAACAAAAAACAGTTGAGATCATCTACGGCAATTGGGAGATCATCTACGACAATCTGATGAAGTCAAAGGTTACTTAAGGAACTTTTTGCTAACTGTTTTGATCGATTAAAACTTGTTGTTATCAGTTAAAATAACTTAGAAAGTTTTGTGAAAAGTTTTGAAGAAACTCACTTTACAGGAGCTGCATAATCCGGGTTTGATTGTTCTAGTTTTTTTTCTTTGTTTCTTTACATTTCTTTACTATATTATGGGTGTCTGGAAGCTTGAGCGAGAATTGACCACAGGCTAAACGTCCAACGCAGTTAGCCACATAATGCAACTTGGGTCACCACATATTTCAATCACTTCTCGCTCAAGCGAAAGTACCCGTCGCTTGAGCGAGAATTGACCCGAGATTACCCATTTGTTACAGGTCTTCTCGCTCAAGCGAAGGGTTTCTTCGCTTGAGCGAGAGAGAAATAATCGATCATAATTTTGTATATTCGATTAGTTCAAATTATAATCGATTATAAATTTCTTCGATCAAGCGATAGATGTCTCGCTTGAGCGAGAATTGACCACGGTCCAACGTAGTTACCCAATCAATTCTCGCTCGAGCGAAGTAACCCATCGCTTGAGCGAGAATTGACCACAGGTTAAATGTCCAACGCAGTTAGCCACATAACGCAACTTGGGTCACCACATATTTTAATCACTTCTCGCTCAAGCAAAAGTACCCGTTGTTTGAGCGAGAATTGACCCGAGATTACCCCTTTGTTACAGATCTCCTCGCTCAAGCGAAGGGTTTCTTCGCTTGAGCGAGAGTTGATCTTGTGCGAAATAATCGATTATTTTAATACGTGAACAGTAAAGAATGCTAGTTGTGTAAATAATATTTCAGATGTCCTATTTTGGGAAATATTTTTAAAAATAGTATTATTTATGAAAAAAAGTCAAAATTTATATGCTCCAACCAGAAGGCTTTGAAGAACAAGGAAAAGAAAATTTGGTTTGTAGGTTGACCAGATCTTTGTACGGCTTAAAGCAGGCGCCAAGGTGTTGGTACAAGAGATTTGATTCCTTCATTATTAGTCTCAGATACAACAGATTGAATTTAGACCATTGTACGTATTACAAGAGGTTTGATGATAATGATTTTATCATTTTGTTGTTGTATGTGGATGACATGTTGGTGGTAGGCTCCAACAAAGATCGAGTCCAAGAATTGAAGGCACAGTTGGCTAGGGAATTTGATATGAAGAACTTGGGACTCGCAAACAAGATTTTAGGGATGCAAACAAGATTTTAGGGATGCAAATTCACCGTTATAAAAAGGATAGGAAGATTTGACTTTCTCAAAAGAATTATCTTAAGAAAGTCTTGCGACGCTTCAACATTCAAGATTGTAAGCCAATCTCTATCCCATTGCCTATCAATTATAAATTATCCTCATATATGTCTCCTAGCAGTGAAGCAGAGAGGATGATAATGTCTCGAGTACCGTATGCATCGACAGTGGGAAGTCTTATGTATGCTAAGATTTGTACGAGACTAGATATTGCACAAGCAGTTGGGACGGTCAGTCGATTTATGGCAAATCCTGGTAGAGAGCACTGGAATGCTGTGAAGAGGATCCTAAGATACATTAAAGGAACCTCAGATGTTACATTATGTTTTGGAGGATCAGAGTTTATTGTTAGAGGATATGTTGATTCAAATTTTGCAGGTGATCTTGATAAAAGAAAATCTACTACAGGATATGTGTTCTCCCTTGCAAACGGAGCGGTAAGTTGGTTATCTAAACTGCAGACTGTTGTAACTTTATCTACTACAAAGGCGGAGTATATGACAGCTACCCAGGCATGCAAGGAAGCAATTTGGATTCAAAGGTTATTGGGAGAACTCGGACACAAGCAACAGAATATCACTATGTATTGTGACAGTCAAAGTGTCTTGCACATTACTAGGAATAGAGAAAGGGAGTATGGATATGCAGAAGATTCATACCAAAGATAACCTAGCAGATGCTATGACAAAACCAATCAACTCTGATAAGTTTATCTAGTGCAAATCCTCCTATGGTTTATTAGAAGCATAAGCAACATGGAACAAGCAAGTAGAGAAAAATTTTGAAACTCACAAAAGTGACTTTAAGTGGGAGATTGTGAATACAGCTATCATAGAGCCACTTTTGTGGAAGTCAAAATAAGGGAACTATTTGTGAGCTATATGTTGACTATTAAAAGAAAATAGTCATAGTTTTACGGTGGCATTAAATGCCAAGCAAAAAAGAGAAGTCGCTTCTTCTCTATAAATATTGGCTTCCTCCTATGCTTTAAATCATCATCCCAACAAGAGTGATTAAATCAGCGAGAATATAAAGTTTCTCCTATAAGATTCTTCTAATAAGTGATTTATCCTATTTTAAGAAGAAAGAGAGAAATTGTTCTTTCCTTCTAATTTAGAGAGAAGTTGTAATCATTCTTCCACATAGTGAAAATCTTTCTCTGGTCTTGCCCGTAACTATTTCTTTATCTATTGAGAGTTTTCCACGTAAAATATTAAGTGTCAATTCCTAATTTTCTCATATATATATTTTAGCTGAAAAATATTATTTCGCTACTCTGAAACCCAACAGTTTTCCATTACATTAAGTCAAAGAATATGCATATTTTAAAATTAAACCCTCTGAAAAACTAATATGAAACAATCTCTACAAATAGATCCTACCGTATCATCATTCACAAATTGATTAAACGTGCTCTACCATGTCTCCCAACAAGGAGGGAAGAAAACCATCTACCGTTGTTAAATAAGATGGAGCATCAAAGGCAATGGCAAAACGCCAATACAAGAAAATGAGAACTTTCTGTTGAACAGAGACAAGTAAAACAACATAGACAACATGACATTTTGAGTTTCTGCAATGTTGTATCGGCAAATTAAGGTGAAAGACAAGGATATATAGAGAACATGGCCAAATTCTGAGACTTGGCTGTGATTGAAGAAGGAGTCCCAATCAAATCCTCAGTCCAACTTGCCATTGTTCTATTCTGAGGTTGAAATAATGTTCACAGGTGTGGCAATCCTTCATATTGCAGAAAATTATAGTTGATGCGGCCCCATTTCCAATCTTAGAAATCCCAAAATCCTTAACATTGAAGCTATAATCACAAGAACATTTTGTACAATCATGGTTCTAGCTAGTCCTAGAGTACCAATTACATCAAAGACATCGACAGATGATTTAAAATTTGGATCATATGACAAATTTTCATAATATTGACAAATAAAAGAAATTTTAGTGGTCTAAAACAAGCTTAAAAACAATCTATTATAGCAAGTCACATGAAGTCCATCATGATACTGCTTTCTACCTCAATCCATCCTATAATTCACAATCATTTTACGTTTAACATAGAACAAAAAATTAGGAAGAGAAAAAAAAAATCATGTGGGCAAATAAAACAACAGTTTAACACTGTTGCAGAGTAAAGATTAGTTTGTACTTAAACTAAGAGTGATTAAACCTTCTTCACATATAAAATCAACCTTATTTGCAGAGGATTAGGACAACTATAGATAAGTGTTATAATCCTGTCATATCTGCAACTCAAAACCAAAAGATATCAGCTAGGTTTCTTGAGTTGTTCATTACTAGTCAGCAGCAGCAACAATGGCCTCTGGTTTACACAATTAAATAGCTCCCAAAACCTTAACGAAAATCATAGACGGAACTAGTATATTAATTTATAGAGGAAAAGAACTTAATAGTCAAAATCAAATAATGCAGAAATATTATCTTTGGCTTTCCAACGAATTCGTTGCTAAAATACGTTTTATTATGGAGCCATCCTTGAAAAAGTAAATGAAACAGGCAACTGACATGGGTTTCTGCATTTACAATTAAAAACTTCACACACCCCCCCCCCCCTTTCCGTTTTTCAATGCTGATGACTAAATATGACTAATATTCTGTTCATCTAAACTTCTAACTCCGTGTATACTAAAAATTGTACATGAAATTTTCCAAATAAAATGATCCTGATGCTACAAACATCTGTATGAAGATGAAGACTGAAAAAAATTACTTCAGATGGCAGTATGACCAAAAAACCTCATAAGCAAGGTCCATACTTATTAATTTAAGCTCATAACTTACTGTTTTACAGATGGCATAGCTTTTGCAGAAACCTCTGTGCAAGGGAGATAGTAACCAGTTTTTGCATCTCAGAAGAGAAACTAAACTTCAATTTCATGAAATACATCAGACACTCAAAGGGCAGTGCTCAGCAACTTCCTTCTCAGAAACTAAGCATAGCCTACATTATGCACTGCAGTGCCCAGAGGAAAATTATATACAGTAGCCATCCATCTGATGAGGGGGAAAGATTATCGTTGTTGTTCGTCTATAGAAACACAAGACTAGCAAATTACACAACTGCAGATGCGGTTCTGCGAAGATCAGGTACTCCATTGCCATATTTTGCACTAAATGTTGGACTTCTCAAGCTGCCATGTCTTACAGGCCTTGGCCGATAAAGACACAAGAGCATTTCCTCAAGCTTCTGCACAGTGTACTTCGCATATTTTGTAGAGCTAGCATCTTGCTCAACCAAAGGACCATAATTCTGCATGTAACTGCGGTACACAGGCACCACAGCTTGCACTATAAGCTGACATGTCTTCTCCCTCAGATCCCGTTCCGGCATGATCCAACTTGACTGCTTAGTATACATCTCATCAAAAACTTCATTGAACTTCTTCAACCTCTTCTTGACCAGGTCCCGGGCTGTGGCACGCCCTCCAGAGAAAAGAATCAAACCTTCCCTACTCAAATGTCCAGGAAGCTTTCCCCAGCTGTCCCTCAAGAAGATTGTGGAGTAATAGTCCTTATACTGTTCGTGCTCCCTTAGCCAGGAATCCCCCAAGAGCTCCCCAAGCTTTGTCCCTTTCAAATGCTTGCATAGATGCCAGTGATTGTTCATAGCAAAAAAGTGGGACAGTATAGGATCGTCATAAGCCTTGATCCAAGTCTCCACATTCTGCTCAACAGCCTTCACAATGTTCAAAATCTCAGTAACAAGGACTCTCTCCTGAAAGCTTTGGCGCTTCCAACTTCTGTGAATGATCAGGACCTGAGTCAATATCGGCTTATAATCCTCCCCAAGGAGCTTGTTACAGTAATCGGTGATAAAGCTCACCAATCTCGGCACATTGCCATCCACAGGTGGTGGATTCGGCCTCTGCAACTCCACCTGAACAAAAAGCTCCCAGAAAATCTCCGCAGCCCCATCAATCACCCTTTTAATAAGATCCCTAGTCAAATTCTGTATCTCAACACATGGCGCACCCCCAAAAAGCCGGTTGAAATCCAACCTCAACTTGCTGAGCGACGCGAAAATATCCAACAACTTCAAAAGCTTAATGGGGTCCTTCTTACTCTCAGTAACCGTCTTCCCAAACTGAAGAAACGCCAGTATACCAGCCTGCGCGGCTATCTGCGAAAAGCAACCCATCCACACATCCAATCCAATCCTCTCGAACACATCATTGCAAAGCTTATACTCAGCCTCAAACAAATGCTTCACCGCAAACTCCAAATGCTTCCCCCACTGAGCAATATACCCCTCAATGCTCTGCACATCATTGAACTCCGACACAGAAATCTCAAGGTAATCCAAATTCAGCGCCTGCAAACTTGCCCTAACATTGGAACTCCTCACCTCAACATAAATCCCCACACACCTATCCAGCCTGTCATTGGCAATCAACCGCCCCAGAATCGCCTGCAACTTGTGCACAACCGACACCGGCAACGGCGACGGCGCAATACACGCCAAATCATCACCTGCGGCCGCCACCGACATCGGCAATGGCACGCTATTCTCAGTCAACAGCAACCTGAACTCATCCTCCAACTTGCACAATGCAGCATCCAACAACCCACCATCGAGTTCCCCGTGCTGCGATTCGCGAAGATTCTTAAGTTCCTTCTTCAAATTTGCGAGATAAACCTGATCAGCAACGGAATTGTCTTCCAAATACTCAACTATGTCCTCCAACCACTGTATGGCCAACCCGCAATTGTCCCCCAAAAACCTCAGCGCCTCCTGGAGGCGCTTCAGCACCGACAAGTACCCAGCGATATCGCTCCGGGGATCCGACAACAGAGACTTTTCGAGGCCGTGGACGGCGTCAAAAACCTTGAGCACCGCCGCGGCGGGGCCCACAGCACGGTTGATGTGGCCGCCGACGGCCGCAAGGGCATCCCTCTCGGCGCGAATAGGCCGCACCGCCGATCCCAGCGACGGCAGCCGCTGCCTGATTTCGGCTAACCTCGGCCCCGCTCTCTCCAACGCTAACCCTACCGACTTCGATTTCTCTAAGCTGAGCCTCAGCGATTTCTCAGCTCTGATTAAATTCTCTATTCTAGAACCTTCCATTGCCGTGTGGTAACTATTCCAGATCGCTACTGAATCTTCTTTTTTTCTCTCTCTCTCTCGTTTACCTCGGAATCATCGAAAAGCTATGTTTGGACGAAGATGGAAAATATTGCGTTTGGAAACGGCGTGGAAAGTGAGCGAAGTAGAAGAGGAGATAAAAATCGGAGGGAGTGAAAGAGAGAAAGGGTTTTGCAGTGAAGGAAGACTCGGTCGAGGAAAATAAGGACAGAGTTAAGGTTGTCGGAGAAGGCGAACGAGTTGACTCAACAACGAGTTTGGAGTGAAAAAGGGCAAATGAAAATGGAGGTGAGAATCTGAATCTGTGGTTTGAATATGAGAGAGAAGAGAAACCCTAAGGAAGAAGAAATTAGAAAAGAGTGTGAGAAGAGAACTCTGAAAAGTGTGTGTGAGAAAGAGAGAGAGAGGAAGGAATGTGGCACTTTTTGGGGGTGTGTGGCACAGAGTGCATGACAGAATGCAAAAATGCTTGTTCCTGTTACTTTTACTGTTTCTTTGTGTGTATCATAGTTTAATTATTCTTCTCTCTTATTTTTTGATCTTTCTTTTCTCTTCTCACCACAGTCTTTTCTGCTACTTTCCCTCTATTACACCTTTTTGTTAAGAAGATACAACTTCATTAATTAATTGACTCAAAATTCAATTTAAATCAAACTACTCAAATTTAATGAATTAGAATTATATCAATAATATTATTTTCTTGAAATATTTTTACGGATTTATATTACTAATTTAAATTGAATCAACTTGTTTTATCTGAGATGGATATTTGCCAAGTTCATATAATTGTAGTACTCATATTCTTCATAATCATCTGCCATAATAATCACGGTAATAGTCAATCAAAATTATGATTGTTCAATCCAACTTCCATAATGAAATTGGAATATTTAATTTTAGATTTTAAATTTCCAACTTTTTTTTTATTTACTAGAATAAAACCTACCATATTAAAACTAATCAATTCAAATCTATCAAATTAAATATATTTTTTAGTTGGTAATTTATGTTGCTTCTATGTCTAAAATACCATCGTTTAAAGTTTGCATGTTGCCACTTGAATATACATGTTAAGCATGGATTTAACGTATAAATTTAGTATAATTATCGTTGTTGATACCTAAATTTCATAAGAACGTCCCAGTTTTTTTTTTTTATAAGCCGAGCTTATATTGATAAAATATGAAAAATATTCGTATAAGACTTTTAATTCTTTTAATTGTGAATAAGAATGAGAAAATAAAATATTAATAATTGAAATAAATAGTATATTAAACATGAATTATTATAACGGTTGATATGTATAAAATATTTTATTTTTATTTATTAGCAGATATTTTAAATAATTTTTTTCAAGTATTTTAGATGAGTTAATATTTAAATATTTTAGATACTGTTGAGATATTTTAATACTGAGATATTTAAAAAAATCTATTAATATAAAATCCATATATTTAATAAATAGGTTTACAAAACTTACTCTAACATTCAATAAATAATTTTTTTATTATTAATATTTTTTTTAATTAATAAACATATGAAAATAATTAATAGCAAAATTATATTAAAACTAATTCAATATTAATTATGACTAAGTGATACTGTTAGTTTTATTATTTTTCTATGTCTACATTTGGATCACGGACAAAAAGAGATGAAATGGAGAAAAAAATGCAATGAAAGTTTATTTTTTCATGCAATGTTTTTTATTTTGTAAAAGAAAAAAATAATCTACCCAATTATGCGAAGAAAACCGCGAAAAACATTATACAAAAATTAAAATTATATGTATACCATCGTTTTTAATTAATCTCAATACCAATACGTGATATAACTCTCTTTCGTCTATCCAATTATATCATCTATCCATAATAGTTTTCAATGATTTTTATTTTTTTTTAATGTTTCCATCATCATCCTAATGATTATCATATCTCTTTTGTTGAACCTAAAGTCTCCTTTGTCTACTAAGGGTGGAGTTGAATCACTAATTAGACTCAACAGCAACCAATTTGGTGGGTTAAGTGAAAAATTGTCTCTAAGGAAACCTTAGGCATTTTTAGTGTTAGGTGGTAAAATTCTAATTCTACCGTTGATGATGCGTAAAATACCCACATATTAGTGTTGATTATATAAAATTGGAGAGAACGGTGAATCAAATTGAAATCTTGATGGAACGAATTTCAATTGGCATGGAAGGATGTCAATCATTTTCACATAGAATTTGTTGAATATTTGAAATAAAAGCAAAATTAATTGTTTGATTATTACTGAAATTAAGATCAACTAAAATGACAATATTAATAATTCTTAAAAAAAATCATTTAAGAGTATTAGTATCATCTTTTAATTAGAATGGTAGATATGCGACCTTAAAAAAATTAATGAGATAAATAGATAGTTTTAATCTGTTTTGCTTTGTTTATTTTAATTAGGATAAAAAAGATATATTATTCTGTTTTAAAATAATATTTATATATATTAAAATTAAATAAAAAATATTATATTTTTTATGTTATATATTATTAAAATACAATATAATAATATAATTTAAATTATAAATATTAATAAATTGAAATAAATTATTGATTACAATAAATTAGTTTAATATATAAATATAATAATTTTATAATTTATCTAATAAAAATATTAATTAATAAAAAAATTATAAATTATTTATATAATTAAAAATATATTATATTTATTTATTTATATAGAAAATAATATTAACAAGTTCATCTATTGTTTTGGCGGGATGAACTAAAATTTGTAATTTGTTCTTATTATAATATGTTAACCTCGTGCCATTTTTTCAAGCTTTTTTTATAAATTAGAGATAGAACATAATAAAACCTAACCGTTGACCTATTTTATTATTTTACTTTTATCCTTTAAATACCAATTCAAGATGAATATGAAATAATATTTATTTGTCTTATATGATAAAAATAGATTAGAGGTTAAATTCAATGAGAGTTTGTTAGTGTAATTCAAATTTACAAAATGGATTAATAATTTTAACGTAACCTACCTTTGTTTGTCCTGCGCAATTTGTTAATCTGGTGGGTCTAGGATAAAATGAATTGATTAGTTTATAAAAAAATATTTATATAATAAATTAAAATAAAAAAATTATAATTTAAAATATTTTTTTATATTATTAGAATATGAAAAATATTTTATAATATTATAATTTAAATAATTATATTAATCAATTAAGTTTAAATTGTAACGACCTTAAAAATCGTTACTATAATGATGTCTTCGCAAAGTAGTAAATAACAACATCTATTTTACATTATATTATCGTAATTATAACATATATTGAAATTCCAGTTCACTAACGAACTTCAAAATATAGTAACATAATTTATTTATATATTATACATGTAAAAGTAGCTTCCTCAAGCTTATCTCACCTGAACTATCCCTCGCTGTCTAGTAGTCACATCACCATCTCTCAACTCCCGATCTGCTCCCACATAAAAGTGATCATCGCAGATCCCATCCACATGGAAAAATAGGGGTAAGTATTAAATCATTTGATATAATAAAATAGATATAGAAGTAATAATTATATATTATGATCAATTACGAAATTATCAACACACTAAGACACCTTCCGAAGTATACCCTAACTATGCCCGAACTCGGAGGCTATCATCTGTGGGCACATTGTGATCGGTACCCGCAGTACCATTCTGACCACCCTCCACACAGAGTAGGATTACTGGCGCCCTTCATCACTCATACTGGAGTACCCCTCCGAGCGCGCCACCAGTCATCCCCCATCGACTTCTCAGTCTAGCCAATATATAACGTCTCAGGACTGATTCTGAGCATCAACCCTCAAGCTTAGTCCGACCCACACACATCACAACACTCTACTTTCATTCTCTCTCTATATATATATATATATATATATATATATATATTTCCTAAAATCATTTCCGAAATCATTTCCGAAACTATTTCCGAAACTATTTTCAAAATCATTAAATTACTATTTTGCCCTTAATCTTTTCTTAAAATTCCATGTATGTCCCTAAATGACTATTTTACCCTTGGACATTTTTGAAAATTCCATTTATGTCCCTATGATGTAAAATGACTAGTTTACCCTTGATCTTTTTAAAAAATCTCCACCATATCCCTTTCTTCTTCCTTCTCTCGCTCAAGCGAGTACACCAGTCGCTTGAGCGATACAAAACCCGAGAGTCCCCTTTGTTTGAAGGATTCGTCGCTCAAGCGAGTACACCGGTCGCTTGAGCGAGACATGACCCGAGAGTCCCCTTTGTTTGAAGGCTTCATCGCTCAAGCGAGTACACCGGTCGCTTGAGCGAGACATGACCCGAGAGTCCCCTTTGTTTGAAGGTTTCGTCGCTCAAGCGAGTACACCGGTCGCTTGAGCGAGACAGGACCCGAGAGTCCCAAATTTTCCAGGTGTCCTCGCTCAAGCGATGTATTTTTCGCTTGAGCGACTTTTGCAGATTTTCTAGTTCGCCATTTTCGAAATCCAGATTTCAAATTTCTCAGTTTCAATCACCCAAATTAGTTCCAAATCAAAATTTAACCATAAACATGTTCAATTTAAGTTAAAAACAACAATTTTAGTATATAATTCATCCTTAATTTCAATAATTAAAAAAAAAACTTTCAAATGATGAACTGTTCATCAAACTCATAAATTCTTCAAAATTAGACATTCTTCAAAATTAGACATTCCAATACTTCATATCTCTACTCCTATTCCTTATTCACAGAGTACCCAACAATTCAATTTCATATATTGAATGAATTAAACTTCCCTTACTTGGTATGGTATTTCTACCGAAGCTTTCTCATTTAATTCAAGTTCTCTCCGTTTCACTGGATCCCGCACGAGTAGAGTCTCGTTGCTTGAAATTTAGACAATAGAAGAAGAAGGATGAGAGGAAAATTTTTGATTTCCCTCCTCCCCGCTTCAGATATTCATATATAAG